GTTTTTTTTTTTGGCAAACATTTCATTGCTGCTGTGATAACTCAAGGTTTTTTTTTATGGCAAACATTTTATTCACAAAGATTTTTGCTGAAATTCATTCTGTTGAATACAGCAGGAAAGCACTGACACACAATTTGCTTTGCGCACACTCTGATGCCCACTTGCGCTGGCTGAGGGCAAGTGCTGAGTGTTTGAAGTTTAAAAGAGTTTTTCTCTGACATCCGGGAAAGAAAAAATGTTCAGTACAGTATGATACAAAGCAAAACTGCTCAAAGATCCCAGTCAAAAGACTTTTTCTATGGAATTTGGGAAAGGAAAAAATTGCAGCACAGTTTGGTGAAAAGGCAGAATTTTAAAAGCTGAGAACAAATCAAGGTCACGTTTCAAAAATTTGAAAGTGAACTATTTAGAGCTACAGTATTATTCTTCGAAGCAAAAACGAAAATTCTGGAAAAAGTAAGTTCGTTATAATGATTTTTTTGCACTTTTTTGATTCGTTATAATGGGAGTTTTTCAGCATGCAGTCTACCTGACTTCAGCTGGGACCGTAAAAAAAATTTGTTACACTGAAAATTTCGTTACAGCAGTATTCGTTACGAGATTTTACCTGTATATCCTTGAAAACATTTTCCAATAGGATATGCCCCTGTTCACTATGAATAAGAGTGTGACACTTTGGCGTTGCTTCTAGCAGGGCTGTGCAGTACTAAGGAATGATAGAAATCCAGTGCAGACAAGTCACTTCAGTACAATGGTGTTTCAGAAAAACGTAACTCTCCCTTTTATTGAGGAAAAGGTGCAAGTGATTGTGGCAAAAGAGAAGACATTTGCACCTTAAAGCTCAGTCCTGCCCCAGTCCAGGTCAGGACTTAAAGGGTGGTAGCCAGTCAAGACTTGGTAACTGAAAAGTTCATTGTCATTCTACAGGCACCATATGAAAGAGCCATTGCATTACTACTTTAAGTTTACAGAATTTCCCACTCTCATCCATACATCTAAGATAATAGGACAAATAACATGTAGGGATAGAATAGCAAACTTATAAGGACCCAGAATAAGGGCCTATACCTGCTGTGGCTAGTTTTTAAACCTACCTTGGCAGCAGCATCGTCAATGGTTTTCTGGTTGTAATAGAAGGCAGCAGACCGAGGGCGATTTCTTTCCTCTCTCTGATGCCTGTGGATGCTTGGCGTGGAAGAGACAAGCCTTTTGGTAGGCATAAGCCTAACCCTCTTCACGTTCTGTTTTAAGCCTGTACTCGAATGTCCTCTGCCTACTCCACTCCACATTCTCACCCAGCCTCTTGCTACCCTGCTGCATATAACAGCCAAGCCTTGGCCAAACGTTAGGCATATAGGCTTAAGTGTAAGCCTAAGCCTGAAGCCCGATGATCACTTCAGGCAGGCCTAACAAAACCGCTCTATAGCTTGGTATGCACACAGACCTAATCCTAGACCAGGACCAGCTCTGGTCTGAGAAGTCTTGTCTGTCCGAGCTCTCAGCTGTAGTCACGTGGACATGCGCACTGTCTGCGCATGCTCAATATTTGAGAGCCCCATCGTATGTACTGCTTCCGCGGTACGATTACCACAACTTCTCGGATCTAGGTCTATATCTACACCCTATTGAACTGCAAGTAAATTTATTTTAAATGAACCACGTTTGGCGCGTCTCTAATAGTAGCCTATCGTAAGCAACCCGTTTCACGTTTAGTCCTTCACTAAGCAGAAATTTAAAAATATACCCGATCCGGCATCTATTCCGCGTTCGTCAGATCGGTCGTGGGCGGGGCATCGAGCACTTTGTGCCAACGTCCTGGGTGTCCTAGCCTATCGTCAGTGTGCACGAGCCAATCACGTGTTTGGCGAAGCAGGCGCAATTTCACCATGGCATGCATGAGGGCTTCCTTGTTGTCGAGGGCTGTAGCAGCGCAGCGAACCCTCGCCGTCTCCGTGCAGTCGCTTCAGACTCGAGCCCCCGAAAGAAAGGTGAAGATTTCGATCTAGGCGTAGGGCCTCCTGGCCTGTTCCGCAGCTGCGAATAGGCTATACCTAGGCCATACTCTATATTGGGCTGCGCTGAATAGACCGGACCTACTCTTTGGCCAAATGAAGACAGCCGGAAGGCCTTGAAAGAAGTTGAAGAGGATTTCACCAGACCCTACGAATTTATTATTTTACGTGGCTGTCGAGAAATTTCGGCTTCATCGGCCTGGTGGACGGCGTCTGGGTCACAGAATGGTGACATTTGCGATCATGAACCCCTGAGAATTATATGTACGAAACCTCTGGAAGCCCGGAGTCTCGAGCTCACGTCAGAGTGAGTTGTGTCTCTCACTCTGATCAAGTCCACATTCACTGGACAATAGTAGGACTTACAACACAGGATAGTGCAGAAAAGATTTAATAGATTTGATCCCGAACTGAAAATTCAAGTTTGACTATGAAAGAAGGAGCGAAGCTCCCACATTCCTGGGTGGTGGAAGAACCCTGTGTAGGGAGTTCTCTTGACCAGCAGGTCGGGACCCCTCCATGAGGCGCAATGGAAAATGAGGTCCGCCTCACGTCTCGCACGCTGTCTCAGGCCGTCCTGTCTTAGCGGGAGGGAGAGAATTGTCAGCTTTAGGAAAGGTAGTTAGGTGCATAGCCAACCGGATCGCCTACCCTCACTGACCTTCCATTTAGGCTTCCTCAAGTGGGTATCACCCTCGCTTCCCCCACTGCTAGTGGCGAACGGGTTTTACTCCGAATGCTTGGAAGAGGCACTATTGACAGCAGCTCGACTCTCGAATCATTTTGAGTTTACTTCCTCCGATCTGCCCAAGAAAGGGAAACACCCAGAGAAACTAAATAGAGCATACAAAAGCGTCCGTCCACGGTTGGAGTACGCTCTCGACACCTGACGTGTGTTGTAAAGATGGTTCTCTTTCACACTTTACTGCCAGCTCTGTGACTTCGTTGCGCTCTCACTGTACTGTCACTTGCTGGCGAGTGGCACGGTAGTCATAGTGCTAAAAAGAACGTTATTTTTCCGAGTTATATAAACCGGGTTTCGCAAAAAAAGCGCCCTGTATGTCGCTTTCTGAAACCGGTTTTAAAGCTACGCTTATCGGAAATTTTATATCGTGAAAAATAAATGTGCTTCTTGAAAGTTCTATCTCTGGGTTTTTTGGATAACGAGTCGTTGAAACTTTTATCTTACAATTTTGCTTTCCCACGTATTCGGCTACAGCGGTTTTTGCAGTGCTCTACGTGTGCGTCTAATTTCCCGCCTAAAAGCCTGCTTTTATGGCTGCATTGCTATTGCAATCTTCTTGATTGCGTAGTGTCATAGTGTCGCATCTGACGAAGAAAAGCGTCACTGCGATAGAGATGTATTTTAAAAGAAGACGAGAGGGAAGAGACTCCAAGGAACAGTCAATGAATTCAAAGGAGTCTCTTCCCTCTTCAGCCCTTTTTACTCAAAACACACCACCGCATTCGGGCCTTTCTTTCTCAGCTGAGATCTGAAGATATTGCACAATCAAGAATACTAAGAATACTATGACGAGGACGCAGCACAAAAAAAGCAATCAACATGACGTCCAAGGAGAGAATTTTTTTGAGCAGTGCTGAAACTGCATCCACATCATGCGGGGAAAAAAAGTTTAATTGCGGGGAATTGCAGTGACGGCTGTTTGAATGACTGTCTAGGTCAGGGATGCACGGCCTTCCAAAGCACTTCGCGTGCAGAATACGGTCCGTGGGTCGGAGATTGTGCACTCCTGGTCCAGGTCATTGGACGAAAAGCAACACAAAACTTTCCAGAAACAAAATTTGTAGTGTTTCCTTTGCAACGCAAAAAAATCACAAAACTATAATTCCTACAGTCGGTTTTCTAAGGCATCAAACAGGACACTTTTTTGCGCCATCCGATATACAGGGTGTATGAAAAGTAACTTATTTTCTGCCTCCTTTCAGGTTTGAATTTCCTTAGAAAACTCTGACGTTCTTTCATGCAGTAACAATTAGAGATTTACATGACCAGACAACTTTTAATAGAAAAGTACGTTCTAGGTTCAGATGGTTCAAACAATATGTTTCACAATCGGTAGGTAGATAATGGAGTGCAGAGCCATCAGCTGACCTGACTTCACTCTGGTGACTTTTTTTCTACGGAGTTATTTGAAAGAAAAAATATAGGTTTGTGACAGAAAACATTGGAAAAAATTGTAGCCCACCATTCACAGAGAAATTAATACCAATCCAGGTCAGAGGCACCATGCAGCGCGCAATAAGTTCGAGCTGATGATGAAAACAATGCATTGATGTATAAGGGCGCCATATTGAATATTTTCCAGCAAAAGACTTATTATTTCGCGATGAAATATTTCCCTAAGTGTTGTACCTTCGAGTTCTTTTACGAAGCAATTCTGATGCCTTCTATTTTTCATGCCTTACTTAAATAATAAAATCGTCAGTGACTTTTCCTACACCCTGTAATAAAAGGCGTGTTTTTCGCACGGAAAAGCGGGATAGTTCATTTCTCGCTACGGCACGTTTTTACCGCATGAAAAGTCTGAGTCGGGACACGTCGGGAGATGCGTCAATAACTTGTGAAACTCCGGTTCTTGCTCTTCAGATCTTTCTCTGGTAAGAAATGAGCATCCCGCGAAAAACCGCCCTCAAAGTACGAGCAGTCCGCCTTCCACAGTAATGAAAAGGCAGAAGGAAAAAACGTAAATGGAATTGAGCACGGATTCGGCCTCGTCATTTCAATCATGCATCCCAAGACGTTCGAACGTCTACTCGGACCGGAAGCAGCTCGCACTGCAGAAATATAAATCCGACTCGAGGCATTTTCATCCATGGTATCCGCCTGCTTGAGTCCGTGGATTATCGTATCTTACTGAAGTGCCGACCACCCCGGCAAGTGCCGACCACCCCGGTCGGCACTTGCATGAGTAGGTACACTGAATGAATGGGTACTTGAATGAGTGGGTACACTGAATGAATTTCAATGAATTTCACTCTCCTTCACTGCAACGATGAGCTGTCTTTTATTTAGTGCATGGTTGTTTATAAGATTGTGATGTGCTGGGGTGGAATTTCTGTCAGTTTGACCTTTGATCTCTTAAGTTTTCTGATATTAATATTAATGATGGTGGTACGAAATTTCTTAAAGAACCACCGCTACCATCAGAAAACTTGTTACAGTTTTCATTCATTTTCACTGCGACTCATCCCAACGCAATGAGATCGCGACTGGATCAGGCAGAGGAGCATCCTCTCGATCCTTGACAACGGACTCGAGCTCAGCAGATGAAATGCCAAGCCTATGGCGACGAAGCTTCGCAGTGTATGCCTTTGACTTTGTACTAGACCTACCGACCGATCTGTCGACCATTATTCTCTTGCGTCCCAGTGTCCACATTTCTGGAAGGTTAGACTTTTATGTATTATTTGATATTCATCAATTTTAACGGAAAGTCTAGGTTTCAATGTGCATAGACGTACGAATACGAGCCACTAGCCACGAATTCGAAGAAACCATTCGAAGTATTGCAGCCGATATTTCAGGGGGGGGGGGATGCTCGTGATGCAGGAGATCATCATGGAATGAAAAGCTCGCTCTGGAAATCTCTTGGGTAGCATGTGACAGACTTATCCAAGCTAACGAGTTTAACATTTCTCGATCCTCGGACTTGAGCAGCTACTTCCTTACCCTGAAGGGTCTCCAAGGTGTTATTCGAAGCCGGGGAGCCATTAGAGATCACAGGATCGCAGATTCAACGTGTTGGTATCCACTTCGCATGCAAACCCTTTCGTCATGTGGTGTTCAGGCATTCGATGGATTATTGTCCATAGAAACTTGAAACTGGACACTATGGTTTGGAGGGAAGGTATGATGGAGGGCACTAGACCTCTGCGCGAGGAATGCCAAACATAAGGATGAAAACAAATGGGAATTCGTCTGCTTTGACCGCTGAGAACTGAATCATCCTTTTCATAGGTTCCTCGGACGTGATCTACTATTTTCTTCGTGCAGCCCCGTCCACTTTCGACATTGTGCATAGGCACTCAGAAAAGTTAAGGGTGGATTTTTGAACAGAGAACTATCCGATAATGCAACTTTATTTTAGGGAAAATACATTATATTTAATGAAAATAAAAGTGCATTATCAGATAGGGCTCTGTTAAAAAATCCATCATACATATCTGACTAACTGAAAATATACCTGGCAGTTTGAGGCGAGTAAGTGGATGGCCCTCACTGGCGATGATCCTCATGTAACACCACATTCACCTCCTTGTTGGCGAGTTCTCGCTAATGAGTTCTTGCCAAGTGCATCAGGGTCTTTACGTACCCAGTCTTGAAAACCTGCACGTTTGAACGGCAGCTTACACAGAAAAAGTAGCGTGCTCAGAGTTTTTCTCCTGTGATCAGCTTCAACTCATCTCCCTTTGTCGCGAGATCAAGACTGATGACTTTTGTTGAACCACGTCCTGGTTTACTGGGATGGTGGAATGGACGCACGCAACTTATGGGAGCCTTCAGAGTGGTGTAGCAGAGCAAAAGGATTGCTTCATGGTGCGAACGGATGGTTTTTAGCTGCCCAGCAACCAACTTCTTCACGACGCATCCTCAAAATCTGATTCTTCCACACCATATCCCCCCACCCTTACATTCTTCAAGGTTGCCTTCGCGTATGATTCAAAGAACTTTTTCGAGTGACACCAATCACATGGGAAACAGGATCTTGTATTGCCCCTACGGTCTAGTCGCACTCGGTTTCGCCCAAATCTGTTCGCGAAAGAAACATCAAGAAACGTGAATCCCAGTGCATCAAACACGCCAACAACATGTGAAACTCTACCGAAAACATTTGATGGTTCATGAGGCTGAAAGAAAAGTTCAAATGTATGAGAATACGGAATGAGCTAATGATCATTTATGAGCCTATCGTCCACTTTATTCACCACACATGCACTGTTGCAACCAATGCCATCTCATAATGCAGTGAAGCCTCTTTGAGCCGACCTCTTATGGTTCCATCTGAAAATGGTCTTCTCAAGGGGCGGTCGTCTCATAGGGAGTCCATTTTATCGAAAATTCTGTTTCGCTAAAAAGAGGTCATTTAGAGGTGATCTGGAAGAGAAGTTTCACTGTAAATCCCATTTGGTCACAAAGTCCATTTGGGACATTATATAGGGCCCCATCCGACTCTTCGAGGAAGACATTGGAGTCCGAGTTGTTATTTGATCCCCATACCTGAAAGATACGCGTGAACCTGACATGCTTAAATTTGAAGTCAGAGCAACTTTGCTTGCATATCAGCACATCGTCAGTCAGCTGAAGGGTAATGAATATCCCTATTCCTGCCTAGGCAAATAGTTGGGTCAATTCTGTTCCAGTGGATGGTTCGTCCATGATCAAGTGCAATGGAAGTGGTGCTTTTTCTCTTTGCCGAAGCTATGCCAACTACAGGGTTGGCTTTTAAAAAGTAAGCCACTTGAAATTATGTTTTAAAATCCATATATCTTTTTCGATTGACTTGAAAATTTACTGAACCGTTGCCTAATATGTTCTTCAAGAGCTCATAGCATTTTATGCGCCTACGATCACCCATGCTAGATTCGTGGCAAATTTGGTCAAGATTCTGAGTGAACAAGCATACAATTTGCGAGGAGCGCATTCACATTTGATTTTTGCTTGAAAAATCAGTTCTTATGGGATCGTGAAAACCTTACAGGACATTATCATGTGTGTTTTTCATCACCTGAAAACGCCATGCATGAGCATGAAACTTCAGGCATTCCTATGCAAATGTTATGAAATTCTCCGGTCTGGACCCTGAGATGACGAGAAGCAAGAAAACTGATGCCCGCTACGGCAAAGCAGCATGATGAACTACCTCTGAGAATCCGTTTAGGGAGATAAACCTGCCATAGAACAAGTTTATCTTTGAAGATGAGTTTAAAAGAGAAAGAAACTGAATGCATTTGGTGCATGTCTCAAATCAGTTTAGCGACGAGTTGAACTCATTTTTAAACATGGGTGACATGCACCACATCTGTTTAGGAGCTAAACTGATCTGATTTCAGGCAAATATGTTTAAGAATGAGTTGATCTCATCGTTAAACTGATTTGTGACATGCACCAAATGTAATCAGTTGATTTCTCTCTGAAACTAATCTTCAGAGTTAAACTTGTTCCATAGAGGTTTAACTCCCTAAACGGATTTTCAGAGGTGGAGAAACAGCAAGCTGTTTTGCCGGAATGGGCCTCATTTTCTTGCCTCTCATCATCTAGCGACGGTGGAATGGAAACTAATGAAGTGGTGGAAGTTTTTGACGTGACCCTGAACCAATCTGCTAGGTGGACTATCAGAGGTCAGCGCAATCCGCTTGATGGGTTCAATGGAGACGAATTGCGAAGAAGGTTGCGTCTTTCTAAGGACTTTCTATGTGTTTATATCGTGGATAAACTTTTTTCATGGAAACTAATCTGATTTTTGGTGGTGCATGTCGAAGATGAACACATTCTTAAACATGTTTCAATAAACGTGTTCATCTCGTCTTTAAACTAATCCGATTATTCAATTGGTGCATGTATTTGCTTGGAATCAGATCAATTAAACTCTTAAACCGATGTGGTGCATATCAGCATATGTTTTCCTTCACTTCAGACTGGTGACCGTCGCAAACTTTATGGGAAAGACATCGATATGAAGAGAACCAGGGAGGACTTGAAGCTTGACATCAAACCCATTGGAGAACGAGTGAGTTCTATTCTGTAAAAATCAGTGAGAGAACCCTTATGGGAACTCCATATTCAGATTTCATGCGGATTATCAAATATGGCTATACAGGGGTGCTTAGCTCGGAATGTACATGGTACAAATAAAAATTATATATGTGAGACTGTATTTAGATGCCGTTCAGGCCATATCATGTTTTGGCCATTCTTAACGAATATGGAACTATACGTGGTTCATATAGGGTGAGCACCCCGGTTTCTGGCCGGTCTCCAGTTGTTGGCCAGTGAGGCTTAAATCCAGCATAATTTGTTAATCTGGCCGCTTTCAAGCATTCTAGCAACATCTTCCCGCACGAGGACCTATAGGGTGGGCCAAAAAATACAAAGTTGTCATTTTTTAGTGAGTCATCAATTTCTTTGTATGCTGCATATTTTAATTAAAATTGGCAGACGTATAAGGTGACACAATTGGAGCTTGTATACCAAATTTCAGCTCTCTGGCTCCAAATTGATAAGAGCTGTAATTATTTTCTGATGACCAACGAAAAAATGTGCTGTCATATTGATATGTGCATATTGATATGAATTTGAGATAGGGATGAAAGGGAGGTTCGAATTTATTAACTTCCATCCCTGGATGATTCTACAAAGGAAGATTGGGAGGCACTGCCTCAATGGTTTATTGACCGAGCCTTTGATCTGTGGTGTCCCAGACTATAGGCTAGTGTTCAACAGAATGGATGGCGCATTTAGCACCTTTTCAGTTGAAATGAACGTCCCTAAACCGAATTGTGTACTTTCCGTGTTTGGCATTTGTGCATTTCTTTTTGGTCTGTTTGTTTTTTGTCAGTTGTGAAAGATTTTGTGCTGAAAGAAAAAATGTACACTTACTTTTTGGCCATGAAATGTAAATTAAATGTCAATCTCAGTTTTTGGAATTTTTATTTTAAACTTGACACATAAACCCTAATTGAGTCACCCTATGTGTCTACCAAATTTAATAAAAAATTGGCAACCTACAATCAGATTGACAACTCACCAAAAATGATAGCTTTGTTTTTTTTTTTAGGCCCACCCTGTATTACTAGTGTTTCTCGGTGTGCGCACAGGGTGTCCACAACCACGTATCTAATATACAGGGTGGGCCAAAAGTCACGCCCCATAGGGTTTACAATCGAATCATGTTTAGTTTCATCTTTATGAAAGCAAATGTTCAAATTGTTGGTCACCAACTTCGAGGCACTTATTGACACGGAATGTAACAGCTGTTTGCACCCGCCGCAACAAAATTTTTTATTTTTATTATAATTCATTATAATCTTATTTGGCGTGACTTTTGGCCCACCCTGTATATAGACGATCGTGACTGACTGACTGAGTGACTGGCGCTAATTCTAACCATGTTCTAGAGAAGTTATAAATCTGAAACTTGTAACACATGTACCTTTTGAGATGCAGAGCAGAAAAAATCTGACTTTGGAGGTATATGCCCTGGGGGCACCCATTTTGGGGGGGAGGTGTTTTCAATTATATATATTTGCTTCAGTCAAACGGAGAGACATGGAAAGCTGAAACTTGGCATGGGCATGCCTACTGAGACACTCAGTTCAGGAAAAATGTCGATTTTCAGATGCATGCCTTGGGGAGCATATTTTTTTGGGGGGGGTGACATTTTCAAAAAAATTTTTGTCCTACCGAATTGGACAAAGATAGAAAGATGAAACTTGATACAGAAGTTGAACTATTGGGAACCTGAATTCAGAGAAATTCCGACTTTGGTGGGAAATGCCCTGGGAGCACAAATTTCAAGGGGAGTTTTTTAATAATTTATTTTGCTTCTATCAAACGAATAAACATAGACTGCCTATTGGGACTCTGAGTTCAGGAAAAATGTCAAGTTTCGGATGCATGAACTGGAGACATATTTTTGGGGGGATCAGTTTGGGTCACCCAAACTGATTGATGTACAGTAAGTCATATTGTATCAGTGCTGACGCATGTAAAGTATCATCACTTCTCTGAAACTTAGGGAATTATTTTATTAAATGTTTCCAACCATGGCTAAATTCAATGCTGTGCAATCCTATACATACTCTTGTATTTGGAAGTTCTGTAAGGGAAATATGTTTTTTTGATGGCATTCAAGCACTATCATGCTTTTCGAGATGCTCAAGAGTTGCATGCTTTTTAAAATTACTTTTTGGTTCACCTTGCAGGGAAGAACAGAGTTCTTCAAGAAGAAAATGCTGACCCTGTTCCGTTTTTCTGATGTGACCAAAGATGGACGACTTACATATGATGACTTTGAAGTGGCAGCAGCTGGACTCATTAGATATGGAGGTCTCACGAGTGAAGAGTCAAAATCCTTCCGAGAGTTCCAGAGGGTAAGTTTTTGTATCTAAAGGATGTTCCATGTCCCTTGACACCCCCCCCCCCTTTCCTGAAAGGAAAGAGACCACTTATAGTCCCGTCCTGTCCGTCCGTGTGTCCGTGTGTCACACTGGTTGTCCGACGATAGCTAAAAAAATATTCGTCTGATCAATTCGAAAATTGGTAAGCGGGTAGATATGAACAGGCTGAGTTCACTTTGTTGTGAATTTACACAAAAATTGGCATGTTTATTGCAAATTTCGGATTTGAAATTTGCCAACGAAGGGGAAGCGATGAGTACCTATGAGCTCTTCAGGATATAAATCACAATGCGCATGCGCGAACGACCCAGGCTTTGAGCGCGGCTCCTTGTCAGCAACCAGAGCTGTCAGTTCCCTACCAACCTTTATGGCGGATTGATCCATCCACGCACAGCCCTCCATCCTCCCATCATCGTTTCACGAGCACCGTTTGTCTATTTTTACCAAATACAAATGAGAAATGAGGTTTTTGATGGTCGAAGACCGGAAGGAGATATCATTTTGTTCAATTAGGTGACAAAAGAGGGTTTCCTTAACTGAAAGGAGGCCCACTACTGGACTGGACTTGCCCAACTTGTTATTTTCTTGTTTTAGGTGAATTAGGGTTAGGATTTATATATATATATAAATGACCTAAGCCCCTTCACGCTAGAAGACCGTTTAGTGTTGTGTTTTTGAGTGCATAAGCGCCAACAAAGTGGGAAAAAAACATGACACATTTGATTGACGACTTCCGAGTCCGATTTAGCAAGAATCCTCGATGAATTGTTTCATCGCACCTGCCACCCATCATTCCGTCTTCGGAAAACGATGGCGTTCATACTGATCCCCTTGATCTCTAAATGATACCCAATCTCTCGAATGTGGGTTATTAAATGTCAAAATGAATTTAGTTTCAAATGGCATTTGTTAAATTTTGCTGCCACTATTCTACAAGAAAAAAAGAGGGGAGCAAGAGACTTATGGAACACCCTGTATATGTTGGTGCCTCTGGTGAGGCCTTCGCTGCGAGATTCAAGACGAGCGAGCCTTACCCAAGGTAGATAGAATATAAGGTAGTCCCAGCTCCACTGCCTGCTCCCCATTGGCTACGATGCGTGACGGCGACGATATATTCTATCTACCTTGGGTCCTACCCAAGGTAGATAGAATACACTTCTCTGCCTGGAGTGTCGATCTGCATTTGATGCTCGTCCGTAAACTGTGCCTCCGCCATCTTGTGATCGGAAGGAAGCCTGGCGTTCGTATTTTTTTTTAATACTTTTATTCTTAAGTCGAACTCGACCCCGCTCATGAGATACGAGGTCAAAAAGGACAAAATGATAGGTATTTTGAACTCTATCATGAACAGAGAAGTTATCAATCGTTCTCAATGATTTCTTCACTGAATATTCCTGAGATATGGAGGTTCGTTTTACGCCTGGTATATGACCACTGAGAAGGACCATTCGAGGTAAAATGTCACAAATAGAGAAAAGAGGTCAATGTCCGTCTAGACTTACGCGCAAGTACCCAAGTAACAATTTTAACCAAAATAAATCTATTGAACATCCACTGGATGACTAAATGCCTCGTCCAAGGATAATCCTTATATATAAATCCTAATAGATTTCGCAAAAGCTTTTGATACCATTCCTCACAAGAGGCGTCGGGTTAAACTGGAGGCCCACAGGATCCAGGGTAGGACGAGCGAGTGGATCAGTAGCTGGTCGACGGGAAGAGAGCAACGAGTGATGATAGAAGGGGAAGCGTTGAAGGAGGTCGGAGTCGCAAGCTGTGTCCCTCAAGGCTCGATCCTTGGACCGCTTCTGTTTTTGGTCTAAATAAACGATTTGGATCTCGACTTAGTGGGTAAGATCCGTAAATTTGCCGACGGCACCAAGATATGTTTTTCCGTAAGGGGAGAGGCGGATAGGGCTAGAGTCGAGCGAGATTTGAGTCTTTTGGATGAGTGGAGTAAGAAATGGCTCATAAGGTTTAATAAAAGTAAGTGTAAAGTCCTCCACGTCGGTCGAAATAACAGTAGGTCTCTCGACACGTTCGGCAAGGATAAACAGGGGGAGGCAAACGGAGAGAGAGATTTAGGTGTTTCTATCGACGTTGACCCAAAGTTTTCCTCGCACGCGCAAGCGACGGTGGCCAAATGCAACAGGATTCTAGGTTTCATTCGTCGTTCGGTTACAAGTAGGACGTCGCGCGTTATTCTTCCGTTGTATGCGGCGCTAATAAGACCCCAGTTGGCATCCAGTTTTGGAGGCCTACAAATACGGGCGATTTGTTGGCGCTCGAGGGAGTACAGAGGAGGGCCACAAGAATGATTAAGGAGGTTAGGGGACTTCTGTACGAGAAGCGTTTAGAAGTGTTGGGACTGTACTCGCTCGAGAGAAGGTTAAGGAGGGCGATTTCATCTAGGCTTTCAAGATAATTAAAGGAATAGATAATGTCGAGTTTGGTAGGTTTTTCCAGTTCGATGGCAGCAAGAGAACAAGAGGTAATCAACTCAAGTTGCGTAAACCGCAGGTGCGGCTCAGGTCGAGACAGGAATTCTTTACTTGCAGAGTGGTGAACGCGTGGAATGCGTTAGATGACGAAGTAGTGGCTGCCCCTTCTGTGACTATTTTAAAGAAGAAACTGGATGCTTTTATGGACAAGCAAAAAGGTGTGGGGCAATGTTGCAGTTAGGGACTAGGCAGTAAGCAACTATTAATAGGATACCCCCCCCCCTCCAAAAAAAAAAAAACCAACCCAAAATGCAAATATATTTATCTTTAAGAGGATTAGGCCTACCCTAAAATTAAGGAACGCTCGACCTTGACACGTGATATCGAAATGGGTGTAATCGCCTCTTAATATCACTAACTACCATGATACCTTGATCCTTGGACATGTCCATTGGATAGCCGTTTCTTCGGATCCATTGGAGATTCCCCATGGGAAAGCCCTTGGATAACCATTGAGGGGAGCAACAATAGTAATTCTGCAGGTAGCAATGGAGCAAATTTTGCATGCACATGAGTACCATGGCAAGGGAACGAAGCATTTTTCGCGAATTTCCGGTCTCCCCGTTCAGAGACGAAAGGCTCTGTCTCCCACGTCCCGAGAGGGGTTCGAAGGAGAAGAGGTAAAACGGAAAATAGAGAATTCCTGAATGAATTCTCTCAAACTTTCTGTACAAGCCTGTCCAACATAAGATTTTGCTTCTTATCGCCTTCGACGACGCGATATAAATACTGTACTAGGGGAACCCCACTCCCTCCATACATCGAGCAATAATTGCCTGGAGTCTCCTTGAGCAAGGTTACGTCTTTCAACAAATGTATTAATGTATTAATCAGAACGACTTCCTTACTTCGCCTTGTTCGGGGAAAATTATCGAGTTGAGGATGGAAGCTTCTGCAGAATCATTAATTAGCATTTGGGGAATCGGGAGACATGCAGCGGCGGGATGAGCGTGACCGGAACTAGGGGAACTTTATATTATTGAATGAACTGCTAGATTTCAGGCCAGATGGAAGGCCTCAACGTGCATGCGTGTCCATCCTAGGACATGCATTGGTTGACCGTGAGAAGTTGTCCTTGGAAGTTCCTTTGCTGAACGTCCAGTGGATGCCCAAAGACACATCATTTCGTTCATAATGTCAAACTCTAAATAGGGCGTAGAGGCTCCATTTGCTTTCGGCGAAATATGTCATATGTAGCTCCTCTCCTCTGTGCACACCATTGACCCTCTATGGTAGTTTATACACCATACGACTCATGCTACTCCATGCTACTCATTGCTACTATCCTCTATATCGGATTCTACCGTGTCTGCACCAAGCTACTCCATGCTACCCATTGCTACTATCCTCTATATCGGATTCTACCCTGTCTGCACCATGCTACTCTCCTCTGTACTTTCTTCTACCGTGTCTGCATCAAGCTACTCCATGCTACCAATTGCTACTCTCCTCTGTTCCTTATTCTACCGTGTCTGCATCATGCTACTCTATGCCACCCATTGCTATCCTCCTTTCAGCTCTCACCTCTCCCGACTCGACCATACTTCTCCATGCTACCTCGCGGTTGTCTTTTGCGTAATCTTTTCTTCCAATTTACTTAATGCTTCTGTCTTCTCTGCCTTACTCTCCCGTCTGTATTCCATATTGTTGCACTCTACCTTCTGAAAATGTCCCAGTACGCTATTCTCGTTAGTCTGCACCGTACCTATCCTTTGCTCCTCTTTGATCACTTTTCATCGGTTCCCACTTCACTCCATAATTTCAAAATTTGTCAATGAAATGAAATAGAATGAAAACGATGAAACACAACCAATTTTCTCAATATTTGAAAATGAATTTTTACATTTGTGTGCCTTCAGCTTTATGTTGAGCATTACAATGTGAATGTGCATATAATTCTGTACCTGTTATTTCTCCCTAAACAGAACCAGTGGGAGTTCTTTTTCGATCTCAAGGGAGTGGACAACAAGAAGGATTACCTGACCGAGGACACATATTTGACAGCTATGAGAGAAATGGTCAACATTCCTCAAGTGGATGAACAAGGGAACTATGATGAATATGTTGTGCCTTTCTTCTTTAAGGTGAGTCTCATCACAGTAAAGAGTTATAACATCCAGACAAAACATCTCATCTCTTCATGATACGGGGTTTTAAATAAGGGAGGGGAGGGGAGGGGGAGGGGGGTGTTTGAAATTTGATCCTTGGGCAAAAATGGCCCCCATTCCCAATTTTCGCTAACTTCTGTTTCTTTTTTTGTTCTAGGTAGTTGGTTGACAGCTCACATTGAAGCTGAGACAGAAGGGAATCAAAATCTCATTATTGATTTAATCATATTTGAATTTAACCATAAAAGCTTTTAAAAAAAAATGATAACATTTTTTAAATGTCAACCCCATAATTATTTCATTGGGATTCATGGTGCCTATGTCAAATGTGAAGTGGGTGTTCATGCACCTGTTAAACAATATATAAAATGATTAAGAGGTAGTATGATTCTTGCATAATTTTTCATAATCAAATTGGAAAACTGGTCATTTTCATAACCTTTTCCCAACATTTTTAACCATGTTGGTAAGCACAATAGAAAGTTTATCTTCACACTGAGAGTTCTTTTTTAAAGGCTTTCCAAAGATACAGGGCTGAATATTAATTTTTACGTTAATCAATTTGTTTTTTAAAAGTTTGGTGGGTCTTTGAACTCAAGTGTGGCTAAATATGGGAAGTTTCATGCTCAGCTGCATCAGAATTCAAGAAAAGTTAGCATGCAAAGGAATATGCTAAGGAGGCTATGTAGAAGAAATCTTATGACTCTTTTATCAGATTTCACTGAGATGTGGAGGTTGTGAAGTTTGACCCTGGTGAAAAAAAAAATAGAGCCACCTTCACAAATGCTTACTTCCTTGCTTATTGTTCCAGAGAGTTTTTTCATGACCTGAATTAAAGTTTAAAATTAAAGGGAATCATGATATGCTAAAATATATCGCTTTTCTAAGTAATTTTTCTCTTAATTATGTATAATTGTTGTGCATATTATCATAAATATAATTAAAGTTTTCACAAATAAAGTTTATTGGCGAATTTTGATTCCCCTTTCCGTCAGCTATAATTTGAGGCATTAAGAAACTTTTCAAGACAATAGCCCAGTGAAGGTCAGAGGACGCTCTATGACCCGATGCCAAATGTTCACCCTACCTTCGTCCCCATTTGATATCAGGCTCTATAATATTTTCTGCACGATTTGAACATATGCTTTTTGCATTCTGAAGGTACCAGTCAAATGAAAATAGCAATAATTTATAAGCTCTGCATGCAGCATTTATTGAAAATACTCTCTTGGGACATTGAGGCGCTTGTCCTACTGCTCAACTTGGTTTTTAAATGTTAAAAAAAATGAAGACGAATATTACCGTTGAAAGGGTGGAAGATCATTTGGAAATCACAACACTTCAAAATCCCTGAAAATGTAGATTAATGAGACGAACATGAACTCATTTCACCTCATGAATCCCTGTGAAACAGGGAACATAAAAAAAAATTAACATTAAAGAAGCGTTTGAAATCGCAAAAGTATATTTGACAAAATAAGCAAATCGAAATGAGCATAACTATTCCACTGCTTGTTAATATGATATCCACAACCGAAAGGAGGAGTCAATGTACTCCGGTTGTGAAAAGTACAACCGAAGAACGTGCGAAGCAGTAAGCAAAGAGAATGCCGGAATGCACCTCTCGCCCAGGAACAAATTAAAGCATTCGGGCTGTTTTAGGGAACGGATTTTTCCTTCATGGTTGAGAAAGGCATCTGCACACTATTTTAAATGTCGTCTATTTTCTAGGAAGTCCCCTCTGTATGAGCTCAAGGACCCACTTAATCTCCTTTTCTTCTGCATGCGTCAAAAAGTGACGGTCTGCTATGTGAGCAATCTTCAGCTTACCGCCCATTGTGCTTGTTCAGGGAACTCACAAATTCTTAGGATTTTTTTTTTGACCCATTGCATCCGTTCGGCGTGCTTCCAATGCAACTCGGAGCTGCACTGCTTTGTACTGGTTGTTCTTGCCCATTTTCGATCTAAGGATCACCACATGTGATAGGACGAAATTAGGAACATTGGTAAAACATAATGTCGCTAATTCCGACAATAGTCGGAGTTACATTTTGTTTAAATTCTGCGTGCAAGTCCGCCCCCGAATTCGGATTTATTTTAGGCATTCGGACATGTTTTTGATAGTTTGAGTTCGTAATCCACTGGTTGACCTTTTCCCTAACTCAGACAAGTAATTAATGTTATTTCGAACTATAATAATATATTTCACGCTCGTCGAAACCTCCAATAAACCGTAAGTAATTTTACAACGAACTTCACATTATTCCGAGCACATTCCAGCCATCTAGGCATTCAACCTTATGACAAGAGTGACATCTGTTGCTGATTACGGGTCTGATTCTTGCACGGAGGTCGGACTTGGAAGCGTATTTAAGGAATTTGACTGGAAAGGGCGTATTGATTTTATGTTAAGTTGAAATATGTGATGCAGGGGTGGGCCTTATGGCAGCGTCGGAATTTGTCTTACCCTAGGCTTACGACGTACGAATGACAGTTTCTTTTTTAAAGAGTTTGTTAGTTATGACGTGGCGGAGAGAGATAACTCCAGAGGCACAGTGGCCGGTAGAATGACAGATTTGTACCAGGTACGCACGACGGAAGGGAATATACCCTGCCAAAACCTTCTCAACTGAAAACCCTTGGCATGAACTTTTTCCAATACCTTATCACCCGACCAAATATCCCCCAAGAGAAGGAAAGTGAGATAAGGGAATTCAAAACATTAGGCATGTGGATCAACCCAACACCGACAATAAAAGCCTCCACACTCAACTGTGTGACTTTTCCAATTCTTCCTTCACTTTCATATTCAACCAGAGGTGACAAGTTGGCAGCAATATTTTAATCTGAATTCCTCTCTGAAGATGCTCTGTAAAAAAAAAAAACATTAAAGAAGCATCGAGTCGCTCGTGGGTATGACCGAATGTGCTAGTAAGCATATATTCACCATGGAGCTTGAGAAGTCGTAGAAGGACTGGGATAAATTGGTGGTGAATTTGTACACCTTCTCTCATCCTCGAACAAATGCATAAGGTGACACTTTTTGCAATGTGACGTTGCAAAGTGCGACGAAATGTTATAGTTTCTGATATTTTGTATGTGGACTATTTTACTTTGTGAATGAAACGTCTCTTAATTTTTTTTCGCGTATGATTCTTCCAAGGAGGCATTTTGCCAGGAGGTTAAACGTCGACGGGAAGTCCCATAGTTTATTTTATGTCGGCTTTATTTCGTCTTGGGGTATTCTGTCGGTAACCTGTACATGGCCTGGTACTCGTGTGTGTTTTTGGAAGATCCCGCGAAGTAAAAATTCCCATTTTTTATTACGAAAAATAGTCCGATCAATTTTGCCTACAGCAAGTAGAGATGAGAACATATATGACTACTGCAAGTACTAACCTCAGGTGGAGTGGAACATGGGGTGGTGGCCTTCCTCAGCATTCTGGCTGGATACCAAGGCATTAGTGACTGCTAATGAAAAGGGGCTAGAGGGTCATTGGCAAATTTGAGTGTAACTGTGAAGGATGTCTCTTTCTTTTCCGTATCCCAAAAAGGGTCCATGCTTACATGTTTTCATGTTACATGTTGGTGTCATCCACTGTTGCTTATGTAGCTCTGTTTCATTTCATATCGCTTCCGAGACAAGTAATGCACTTACTAGAAAGCTGCATTCATTTGCATTGCTTGTATCTGTAAATTCTGTGAACCACAGACTGGGCTTCATGAACGGAAGAAAAGCACTAATGCCAAACAGCAGGCGAAGAAAGGCTGAGACTTCATCAGTATTGATTTGCACAATAATGGTTATTGTTTCTGTCTTTGTATTGCATGCTCATGACCTTGTAAGTGTACCTCCATTGGGACTGTCTACCGCATTAATTAGGGTTAGGCTATTTTTGTGCGTTATTTTTTATTTATACATTTTTTTTAGAATTCCGCATTCTGTATATTTGCCTGCAATAGGCCCAGTGGTGTGCCCAAGGCGGGGGGGGGTTGGGTGTCATAACCCCCTCCAGGTTCGATTCTCAACAAAAAAAATTGTTTGGCCATATATAATATTTTGCAGGGTGGGTCACCAAATTTTCATGTCAACCCCTCCCATTGGATTTTCTGGGCACGCTACTGAACAGGCCTGTTAATAGTGCTATCAGGTTAGGGTTTTTCCTTTAGCAACCAAATTATATCATACTCTGAGTTGAAGTTTCCCTGTGATTATTATTTTTTTCTGTCCAACATGCATAGGCTGTAGATTTGGATGGAGACGGAAGGATCAGTTTGCGAGAGTACATCAGACTTTTCCAAGCGCATGCCCTGTCTGAAGCAGTGAGTATTCGTTTCTTTCCTCATCTTTCCTCACAACCTTCTTGATCAGTTCCTGATTGTGGTATGGTGTTCCAGAAAATCGATCAAGGGTCATTCAATACCAACTGACCAGATGGGTTATGCTCGACCTTCACATAAAAAAACTTAAATAATCCACAGCTAACCGGTCGTAGAAGAAACTCCAAAATCCAAAATGTTCTTTCTCTTGATGGTTCCAGGCACTTCTGACCCCTCAGGGCATTTTTATTACCCTGAAACTATGACAGCTATAAAAATGTGTAATGGTCTAGTTAAAGGTCCTAAATAGTACAATACAACTATTGTAACAAAATAGGAGTATTCTAAAAACGGAATTATATATATATTTCATAGTATAGTAATTCGTGACAAATTTATGACCCCATGACCTCTTGTGAGAGTCAACAGAACAAAATCAAAATAATGCAGAGTCCGTTTCTGGCTCAGTTGGATGGTATAAGCATTATTCTGCATTCATCATCCCCACATGGAGAAAATGCATCCAAAATCTTCAATTTTTGTTATTTTAGCAAACTTTGACCTCGTTTTTCCCCATGTGGAGGTCCAGTTAAAAAAAATTATTTTATGTAATATAAAAAGAGCATTCCAAAATCTATTCCATAACATGAATTTTGTTTGTTCTAGTCAGGTTTCGGAAAATTTTTATTTTTCAGAAGATGCTAGGTTTTAACCTCAGCTCTGTCTTTGTCAGCAAGACTGCTCCTAATGAAAATTTGCTCGACTACTCAAATTTCATTATTTTATTACCTCTTTCCATGAAAATGTAGCAGGAACACTTCATAAGCCACTCTTTGCTTGACTGGATTCATTCAGTTAGATTCATATTGCCTTTGTGTTAATCTGATGCTACTTTGTATAAGCGTAAATAAAATTAACGGAACGTGTCATCTCTGCGTTCGTCAATCTTCCTATGCAAGATATTATATGTCTGCAATTTACGATACCCTTTTAGCATATCAGATTCCACTGTACAGTTTCACTGAAAAGCTTGGTGTTAGAAATGTGTAGCTAAAAACGATGTTTTGTTTCTTCAGCTGTGTCTCATATGAATTTATATTTAAGTAACTACTGATCTTCTGGTAGTGATGTTATAGGAATTAGCTCTGGAGTTTTCCTTATATAATGACTCTTGTAACATCCATAAATATTTGAATTGAAGAAGCATGGACTCGAAAGATCAGATCACAATCAGGAAATTATAAATCACTTGCTTACCTCACAGTTAACCAAACAAGCAAGTATCGATGTGTACTCCGATTAAACAATTGAATTACATATTTTTCATCATAGCTCATGCAATCCAATCCGACTTACGAACTAGTTGAAAGTCCCTTCGAAACTCCAAGAATGATTTAACTGAAACACCTTTCATGCATGCTTTATGTCATGTTTTTTCTGTAGGACGCAAAAATATAAGCAAGAAAGGTTGTAGGCTTTTGGAGATGATATAATGAGTTATGAAAAAGTCAAATTAAATATGAAAAAGTGCTTTAGTTAATGGAAAAACTATTATGCACATTAAAAAGAATACCTGTTGGCAGCATACGAAAGTTAGTATTGCATTGAGGTTTTTAGCTTCGGCCCATTGTCATTGTTATCAAGGGAAAACCTTGAAAGGAAGCCCTCAACCATTCCGCAGATTCTTGCTACTGAGCATTGTGGTTATGGGTGCAGCAACTTTTCCTCCTACATCAGTCTCATCATCTTATCGTTCATTGGGGCCTTGTGTCCGTTGATGCTCTGAAAATCAGGGTGGGTGGAGAAAGGCTGTGATCGTGAAAACCTCAGGAGCTCAGACTAAAAGTAGCTGGAGGAATGTGGAAAGGGGAAGAGTGGACGCGTGAGTGGTGGGGGGGGGGGGGGGGGGGGGGGGAACCAAGAAAGTGATGTTTTATCCCCTTCCCCAGGTTTAGAATTTGATAGGATTAGTGGAGGTTCGGTTTCCCTTGGTCCATTTAACAACACCTCGCTTGTTAACCTGGTTCGGTTCATAAGCGTTGGGGGTGCTATATGAACCGATTAATCAGTCCCACCTGATGAAAACGAGAAAATAAATCAGTAGATTCAATGGGAGGAGAGCAGTAAAACCAAACATTTGCCCCCCAACTTTCAAAGATGGAAACCGCCCCCCCCCCCATTTGTTGTTGCACCTGTGATAGTGTTTTGAAGTAAGCAGTTGAATCTCTATGAGGTGAGATAACGTTTTTATGCTTATTTCTTTCCATAGGCTGCAATGAAGGCGTTTCAATCCCTTGATCTTAATGGAGATGGAATAGTGTCCTTTGAAGAATTCTGCCTTGCTAACTTGGAATACATGTTCTCAGAGAATGAGAAGATACCTTGCAAGGAGATGTTCGGTCCACTGGATGCTTGAGGAGTTCTCCATAGTTGTCGACGGCTTTCCTTTTATTCCTGCTATCATGCAAATCACGAATCTCCACGTACGTTTTCTTAAATACCACCCTTTTTTTCTGTAATTCTACCTATAGATTTGATGCATAATACTGTATCTGGCATTATGTATCATTTCACTATACATTGATGCAATTTGTTACGTCAACTTGAAGCTTTGCATTTTGGTGCTTTTGACGACTTTTAAACAGTTGGGTGAAAAGGAAGGTGCGTTTCATTCATCGTTTTACAGTAAGCTAAAAATAACGTCTGGGGAACGTCCTCTTCGGGGAAATCCCCATGAAAGCCATTGAAGGAATCTTTCACTTTTTTGCTTGGCACGTGTGGACACTCACTGTTTCTAAACACCGAAGGCAGGAAAGTTGAAGATCCTTGCAATGGAGAATTGAGTTTCTTGATTTTCGGGTATCGGTGCTTCCATATGTGAAAGCTTAAAATGCAAATACGAGTCAGGTTCAGTTTTTTTTTTCCTCCTACATCAGTCTCATCATCTTATCGTTCATTGGGGCCTTGTGTCCGTTGATGCTCTGAAAATCAGGGTGGGTGGAGAAAGGCTGTGATCGTGAAAACCTCAGGAGCTCAGACTAAAAGTCTTCCATTTGTTAAGTGATTTCCTTCTGGAGGCTGTCTATGTAGGGGTGGGTAGGCATTTGAGAAGTACATGTTAGTTTCCGTCTATTCCTTGTCCTAATCGATTAACATCAAAGGTATTCAATTTACAAATAATTTGTTCTTGGAAATTTATGTTAGAATTTAGTCCCCTGCAGCATTCGTTTAGGGACATTTGTAAGTTCGGCCCAATCTGCTCAAAGTCAGGAACTTAACGCATCATAACTGCTTGCTTTTTTGTTTTAAGCTTACAGACATGCAAATTGATCCGACATTAACCAAGCACAGAATTCAACAATGCTTTATGATGATTTACATTGAAGGAAGTAGAAATTAACTTCCAAAAAAAAACTAGAAATTGTCAATATGTCATTGTTATTGACTGCCATTGCAGTTAATCATACCAAATTGCATCCTTATCTGATCTCCACCCCTTTCAGACCCAATTAAAATTATTGACAGATGTCCATTGCCTTGTGTGAGGCATCGCAAATTCGCCTTGGGCTTCAAGCGATTTTTTTCTCAAAAATGAAAGTTCTGGAATATCGGCAGCTATTTTCAGAGTACATGATGTCATAAAATATTTGTGAATTACTCTCCTCAAGCTTTGGGCAAAAGGGCCAAAAGTGTTAACTAAGAATTTTTCTCCAAGCCACAGATTTTCATACGTCTTATATTTTCAGTGAAAATTGTGGACAGTCTCAACTTATCCACATTCTCAGCACATTCCGTTATAAAATCATTTCTTGTATTCTCTGTTGGTATCACAGCTGTGGCGCTTCCTGTTTGTTTTTTGAGTCATTCTGAATGCAGGGGATGCTGTCCTTTTAAAATTCCAAGTCATATAAGTCGCAGTTCTTATCTGAGCTATTTTGATTAAACTTGCACTAGGCATAGGTTGATGCATAATTGAAAAGAAGTTTAAAATGGCCAGGAGGCTGTGGAGTCAAGTGGAGGAAAATCCTTCGCGCTGTAGGAGCGAATCATCCAGGTCACTCTAAAGTCTCTTCCATTCCAATTCATTATACGGGCTGACTTTCTGTTGCAGATGGCTTTGGTAAGCTATTATCCCCAATTAATAAGTATTGAATTAATAGATATCACTTCAATGAGTTTGTTCAGAACTTCTTCGAATTACCCTTCATGTTGGAGTAGGTTCCAGGCGTCATCTAGTAGCTCCGAGGGAACTGGAGCTCCTGACCATTTTCAATACCTGCTTTTTATTGAATGATTGCTCATGATCTGCTTTGGCAAAATGAATTTACATTTTGAAAACAATATATCAAGAGCCTGTTTGGAATATGTCAGTGCGTCCACTGCACATGTTTCATGAAGAGTAAAAAGTAATAAAAACGGGTAAAAAAGGAAACTGTGTTGCCACGCACTCAGACAGACGCCATGTGACCTTCAGCCGCCGCCTGTCCATCCCTGTCCAATCCTGTTGCAACGTAATTTTTTCTAGGTATTTATATGAACTTCTGAAATTCTGAAACTGTTGAAGATATTCGAAATGTAAGTATACCAATTTAAGGCAAATGCAGCAAACCACATTAAAATATATGCTATGAGTGCAATATAGTGAGTGCAATCTCGTTTAAAGCTGTCCGGCTTTTTTGGCCCACCGTGTATATTGTTCGGCAGGGTTCTTTGACAACTTCATGGAAATTTTGTTCTTGAACTATTTACTGTATGTGTGAAAGCATCAATTTCCTTGTCTTCAACCATGACTTGTTAAAGTCAATGTTTCTGGAATTGAACAAACTCAATATTCCCGTAGTAAGATTTTATTTTATGTTTGCATAATAAATACGAATTTAATGACATCCTCGGAGTTGCTGCAGTCATTCATGTGAAGTCATGTCCCTTTTTGAATAAATTCATTCCAAATATCACGAAGGAGGTTGAGAGAGGCTCGTTCCAACACAATGGTCTTTTCTAGGTTTCATACGATCTAGCATTTTATCATTCTAAAAATGTGCACGAAATACTTCATCCGTGCCAAGCTTCTTTAACTCGTATTTCTAGCTTTTGGTTAGTTGTGGCCGTCAAAAGCTCAGTCCATGTACATATGAACAAGATCGGACGAAGATAGAGGATATGGGAAGATGGAAGGTGGAGTGGGAAGTGAAGAATCTTCGAGCTGAAGGAACGGTACGAAATAAAACTGGAATCCCTGAAGCAGTGGAAATATAGAAAGTATTTACTCGATATTTCAATCACTCGTGGCCTCGTGGTGAAAGTCTCTAAGGATGCTAAATGAGACAAATCATCCCATCTTTGGCAGGCATTTTATAACAAAAAAGGATGGATAGGAGTTACCATTCCATTCTTAGGCATAAAAGGTGAAGATGAATATGCCAAACGTCATGCAGATGACGGCGTTAATGTTCACCAACCTGGGGAAAGAAAGTTGGAAGTGAGAGTAGAGTGAAGGAGCAATGGGAGGAATGTGGGAGAACAATACCTTCGCCAGAAGGGTGGCTCGTAGAGGAAGTCGGCAGCATTGGCAGCCTCTTGCTCCTTGCTCATCTTATTCTGGCTCTCCTCGAGAGCTTCTTCATCAGGATCGGGTGCATCTAAGCCACAGATGCAGTCTATGGCTCTTCTCCAGAGAGGCTGAGTTCCCGATTCCGCTGCGCGAGTGTCACACGCACGCCATTATAATTGTCATTCATCGTGAGCGAGCTCGACCGACCGACACGGGTACTCACCTCGGCGTTGGCGTCGTTCCTTTTCCTTCTGCCTTTGCTGTTCTTCTTCTTCGGGATCCACATCCAACTCGTCCAGGTCAATCCGTACCCTTCGACTAAACCGTGTCCCAAACGTCAGTCGTGGCAGCTAGAAGGCAGCAGGGAGCTGAATGCTTTTTCGTTGTATAGGATGAAAAGAGAGAGGATATGTGACAGTACGAACATGGACTTTGTTGATGGGCTCAGTGAGGAGACTGATGACGATGGTGACGACGCAGACAAGCCCGAAGAGAAAGACCCCAAAGTGGAGGTAGTGGAAATCACCCACGAGGGTCTTGATGGTCTTCGGTCGCTCATCTATGTTCCCTGGAAACGAACGAAAAGGAAAGCAAATTCATCTCATCATTGACGATAATAGCCTCTTCGTTTAAATAAAGTTGATTCTTCCGAATCTAAGTGAATCCTAACTGAACTTGCATGCAATTTAGTTGGACTGAGCCCATCAGGACGTAAGTCCAATTAGAATTTCATTTAAAGATAGGTTATAATCGATTGGAAGAGGCAATCCAACATCCCTGTCATTGCTGAAGTGGAATTGCGGAGACTTTCGCCTAGTTTCCAACGGCAACACTCATCCTCTACCTCAGAGCTATCCTTTTTGATCAGCCTATCCGAACAGCAGTGGCCCTCAAAACCGGACAGACTTTCCGTCTTTCCCGATTCATTGAGCTTTGTCGTCAAACTGAACCGAACCAAACCTAAATTTCACCGAATTGAAACTGGGCCGTACCGAAAAATCAAGCATATTTCTGAACTCGAATACGTGGGGCTTGTCCGATCTCATGCAACCAGCAGAGTGTTGCCACTTTGGCAGTATGAGTGGTGAAAGGAGATTCATTCTCATGTCAGAAGAATGCAGTAGTTATTTCTTGAGGCTTCTTTGCATAGCCACATGATTGAAACTTCAATTTCCTTCTGCCATGGTCATGCCAGGAGTCAGGAGTCAGGAGAGTTAGTGATATCAAGAGGCGATTTCGCCCATTTCGATATCACGTGTCGAGGTAGAGCGTTCCTTAATTTTAGGGTAGGCCTAACCCTCTTAAAGCTAAATATTTTTGTTTTGTTTTTTTTTCTTTACTATCCTAGTTGCTTACTGTCTAGTACCTACGTCAACATTGCCCCCCACCTTTTTGCCTGTCCATGAAAGCATCTAGTTTCTTCTTAAAGATAGTCACAGAAGGGGCAGCCACTACTTCGTCATCTAACGCATTCCACGCGTTCACCACTCTGCAAGTAAAGAATTCCTGTCTCGACCTGAGCCGCACCTGCGGTTT